TCTCTACAGAAATAGAATTGTTGTACTTCAAATGTATAGTGGTTACTTTGTCGACATGGTGACCGTTACTTTCTGGTTTACAGTACTACGTTCAGTCTGAAGTAAAGATCAGACATTTCTACATCCGTGGGACCCAGATTGTTTCAGGGGCGATAAACTCGGCAGTAAACCTATATCAAGAGATGGCCTAGACGCCTTACATGTACTTACCCTTTGGCTTTAAGTTGTCCCAAGACTTCACCAATAGGAGCTGTTGACTATACCAATCCCATCCCTCCGTACGGAAGGAAGCAACTTACCCTTAACATAATTTGATAAAAAAATAAAACCTGAATTGTTTAAAAAGATGCATACATCAGCTAGTTTAAGCGACTATATCCGGAATGACATTTAATACGCCACATGGACGCTGACTCCGGACAGGAAGTCGTTTGTCTGTAAGTTGTTCAAATTGTGGGCGACCAGCGCGCGAAATCTGCCGCCCCCGGAAAACCCAACATGTATAACTAAAAGTGGTACGATGTCGATGAGGATGTAGTAATAAATATCAGACTGACAGCTGAAGCTTTATACTTATCTCAAAAGCCGTTAGATATGTATATTAGTAATGTACTTAATAACACGTAAGGTTCTGGCTGGCACATCTAGAAATAAAACAATGTAATTCGCTATAGAGGATTTCGTCAATGGCCATGGTACTGAATACTTGTGACTGAAATTTGTACATAATGAGCAATTTTAAATAAGATTTTTGCGGATATTCACACAAGTATGAAACTCATTTTGCTCAGCTTTGCATTCGATGACAATTGCACCACACACCTTATCTCATCACACGGAGTAATTTTCTTCTGATGCACCACATCTCCCTGATTACGCCACAGCACATTACTTCCTGTCGTGTACGCCACTTCCGCTGTACTCGAGTGTGTTATTTCTCCATGTACACTGTACTTGCCTTCTACACAGCTTTTTGCGATATTCACGACTTCCAAGCGTATTTTTTTATTTTCGCTGTGTACTCCAGCTACACTTTTTCAATCTGTACACCGTTCTTTATCGTGTACGCAACGTTTCTCATTTTTAAAACTCTGAATGAACAACATAGCATCTGCATACCCCAAGTTCATAATTTATGCACCAAATTGTCTGAATTTAGTGTACTGTTCGACTTCATATCCAATGTCCATGGAATTTTGATGACGTCATGAGGACATCATTAGCGTTAGCACACCAAGTAAAATATGTGGCTACCCAAAAGTAATTAGACAAACAGAAAATAGAAATACAATTCAGATATCAACATTTCATAACCACGGATTTCCATAAAACATTGAAAAAGATAAGAAAAACAAATTTTATACGCATCGCTAGACATGTACATATCGTTAGCACAGCCACCTGATACCGGAAGCAGCGGCTGGCGCCACGCGGGCTTCATTGACGACGCCATCACAACAAAATAGTTACAAGACCAAATAATTATAAATTGATGCTTTCATTTACCATTTGAAAGAACATTTACAAATGTAAACTGTAACATTCATTGTACGTCCTCACTGTAACATGCCCATAGACAATGTACGTCCTACTGTAACGTGCCCATGGACTATGTACGTCCCCACTATAACGTGCCCATAGACAATGAACGTTCTCACTGTAACGTGCCTATAGACAATGAACTTCCCCACTGTAACGTGCCTATAGACAGTGTACGTCCCCACTATAACGTGCCCATAGACAATGTACGTCCCCACTGTAACGTGCCTATAGATAGTGTACGTCCCCACTGTAACGTGCCCATAGACAATGTACGTCCCCACTGTAACGTGCCTATAGACAATGTACGTCTCCACTGTAACGTGCCTATAGACAGTGTATGTCCCCACTGTAACGTGCCCATAGACAATGAACGTCCTCACTGTAACGTGCCTTAGACAATGTACGTCCCCACTATCACGTGTCATAGACAGTGTACGTCCTCACTGTAACGTGTCATAGACAATGTACGTCCTCACTGTAACATGCCATAGACAATGTACGTCCTCACTGTAACATGCCTTAGACAATGTACGTCCCCACTACCACGTTTCAGACACAATGTACGTCCCCACTGTAACGTGTCAGAGACAATGTACGTCCTCACTGTCACGTGTCAGAGACAATGTACGTCCGCACTGTGACGTGTCAGACACAATGTACATCCCCACTGTCACGTGTCAGACACAATGTACGTCCGCACTGTCACGTGTCAGAGACAATGTACGTCCCCAACTATCAGAGACCATGAACGTGTCATAGACAATGTATATACGTCCACACTACTGTCACGTGTCACTGACACAATGTACATCCCCACTGTCACGTGTGTCCCCACTATCACGTGTCATAGACAATGTACGTCCCCACTGTCACTGTCACGTGTCCCCGCTATCGTGTCATAGACAATATACGTCCACACTATCACGTGTCAGACAACTGTCACGTGTCAGACACAATGTACGTCCGCACTGTCACGTGTCAGAGACAATGTACGTCCGCACTGTGACGTGTCAGACACAATGTACGTCCCCACTGTCACGTGTCATAGACAATGTACGTCCCCACTGTGACGTGTCAGACACAATGACGTCAACACTGTCACGTGTCAGAGACATTGTATGTTCCCGCTGATACGTGTCAGAGACAATGTACGTCTCAACTGTCACGTGTCAGAGACCATGAACGTACCCACTGTAACGAGTCAGATACAATGTACGTCCCCACTGTCACATGTCATAGACAATGTACGTCCCCACTGTCACGTGTCAGAGACCATGAACGTCCCCACTGTCACGTGTCAGAGACAATGTACGTCCGCACTGTGACGTGTCAGACACAATGTACGTCCCCACTGTCACGTGTCATAGACAATGTACGTCCCCACTATCACGTGTCATAGACAATGTACGTCCCCACTGTCACGTGTCATAGACAATGTACGTCCCCGCTATCGTGTCATAGACAATATACGTCCACACTATCACGTGTCAGACACAATGTACATCCCCACTGTCACGTGTCAGACACAATGTACGTCCGCACTGTCACGTGTCAGAGACAATGTACGTCCCCACTGTGACGTGTCAGACACAATGTACGTCCCCACTGTCACGTGTCAGAGACAATGTACGTCCCCACTGTGACGTGTCAGACACAATGACGTCAACACTGTCACGTGCCAGAGACATTGTATGTTCCTGCTGATACGTGTCAGAGACAATGTACGTCTCAACTGTCACGTGTCAGAGACCATGAACGTACCCACTGTAACGAGTCAGATACAATGTACGTCCCCACTGTCACATGTCATAGACAATGTACGTCCCCACTGTCACGTGTCAGAGACCATGAACGTCCCCACTGTCACGTGTCAGAGACAATGTGCGTCCCTACTGTAACGTGTCAGAGACAATGTATGTCCGCACTGTCACGTGTCAGAGACAATGTATGTTCCCGCTGGTACGTGTCAGAGACTATGTACGTCCGCACTGTCACGTGTCATAGACAATGTACGTCCCCACTGTACCGGTCTGAAACAATGTGCGTCCACAATTTAACGTGTCAGAGACAATGAACACTTTTTATTAGGATCAAATAGAATTAAACAAATCAACGATCTATTGATCATATCTTAAATACTATTGAAATTTGTAATATTGATATAAAATCTTATCTGGTCATCTTATTACCTTTGGTGACGTCACAGTGCAAATCACACTATGATGTTATTACTTCAGAAAGAAACAACTACAACTTTCAGCCAATCACAGGTCCACTAGGTGTTATAACAACCATGATGAGATTTTACAACGTGTGTCATCAAACTGGTAACATGGTAGTAATGCGAGGAGTATTGGTCTTGTTTTTGTACTACCGTTAATATATATTCTCTTTAAGTTTTTCAAAGCTACATGGAACCTCAAACTATGCAGGATTTCAAACAGCATGTCTTTCAAATAGTATCACTTTAGTCGAGTAATTGTTGCTTTCAATACTAAAATATATGTACACCTTGTATTCCTCATGTTAACACAGCTGTTGAACACGAAGTTGAAATTTTGGTAAATTATCCGTGTTGCTGTTGTACAGTACATGTATTGTTTTGTGGTGAAAGGCGGTCGATTTATGTATGGTGCTGATCACACCTATTAAACTTAACCGTTCACATCTCTCTTCTAATTGTTATCAAGGAATGGCGTTAAGGTATGATGCAGACCAGGTAGACTCGCTACCGGGTCAAAAACCTGTGGATTATCGATCGATACACACAAATGTGTACATGTTGAGTACACACACACACATATATATATATATATATATATATATATACAAACTACAACTGTTTGTAAGTATCTCGTAGGCTGTATGTCTACATAGGTGTAGTTAAACAGTATACACGTGTGAAGTGTTCAGCCGAAGGTGATCCGAATGGAACGTCCTTCGGAAGTGAATGATTACGCAATTTTTATTTTTCGCAATAGCTTGTTTAAGCATGTTCGGAACATGTCCAAAATAAGTTATCTTCGAAAATAAGTACATGTCTCGCCACAGACTAAAGGGAGACAATCGTGTTTTATTAATACAACACAACCTCATTATTAAACTGAAATAACATTTTATTTATGATGATGACAATGATAAATTTATGTAATGTATCCATATGAATGTTGTTGTACACGTTAACTCTGACCTGGTGCAGTCGTTCAGTTGAAAAATATAGAAATATTTTACCATCAATCTATATCATTATCAATCTTTCTGCCATTGCTGATGCATTCCAGCCATGTTTGATTTCATGTTTAAGGAATAATTTCCTTGTTTCTTCGCCACAAGTTGATATCATAGACAAATATAGCAATTGATCTCCACTCACAATGTCCAAGCATACTTAGTTGCCATGTTTCCTGTTTCAGGGGAAAACCGCGCAACCTTGTCACCCTGACATGCTGTTTGCGGGTGCGGTTCATCACTTTCCTGTCCGTTATTGATTGGCTAATGTCACTTTGGAGGGAAATTTTCTAAATGTATTGCATCCTGGGAGACACAGTCTATGTATTGACGATACATGTGAACTTGTCTCTCTAAGTCCTCAACCTTGGCACGCAGTTCGTTGTTTCTAGAATTCAGAAACTCGAGCTCCTAGAAAAGATATGTTTCAATAATAGGGCATCAGTCTATCTAAAACACATTAATGATTTACAAATTCTGCTTGATGTCGAGATTATTTTGCCTCATCAATTAATATGAAATTTGCAATATTTTCCCTGTATTTCACTCAAAATGTGGTACATGTATGTGTTCAAATTTTCAAAATGTCATTTTCAGCATTTTAAAAAATCCTGATTTGAACTGGTTCATGTAAGCACAACTCTCATACTTCTTAGAAAAAAAATAAAATAAATTACCATGATGATGAATAACAAGAACATGGAGATGGTATAAGGATCTGAACAAGTCTGACTCCATCAACCGCACTACACGTAGGCTAAAATGTTACACAATTTATTCCAACTGTGTATTTTGGTATTTTAAGTAAATCTCACCTTTTCTACTTTTTCTTTCTTTGATTTCTTTTTTGTTCTAAATCGTTGTGCAGCATTTCTGTTCTGTTCTCGTCTTTTCTTCATTTTAATTCTATCTTCAGGCTCGAGCTTAAAAACAAAAAATAGGTGTTGTCTTTTTCGAAAAAAAATTATATAAATAAATGTGCTTTCCTGATATATAACAGCATGCCTACGTTACAAAAAAAAAAGATTCATTTATGTTAAATTTAACTTTATCTGACAAATTGTTAAATTGAATATTACAGAAATAGCTACACATCACTCGGCAATATTCAAAATCTAACTAAATTATTTACACATCATTATGAACTGTATTTTTATGAGAATAACTTATATCTATCTACATATGTACATTTGTGTCGTTGACAATACACATACTGAGGTAGTCATACAGTGTCAAGTTGTCGGTTCAAATACACACAAACACCAATTCTGATAGTATCATACTCATAATAAATAAAATCTGAGTTTAAATATTTAAATTTTAAAATAAATTTCGCACGCGGACATACCTGTGGGGTTAGTGGAGGGTGGAACTTTACGCTGAGCTCCTCTTTTCCGACCGCTAGCCTCCGTGATTGAATAAGATATTTTAATTCCTCCTTGATGAGGGGGAGAGGATCACCCTCCTTCATAGAGGACAAAAACACCCGGTTAAGTTTCTCTGTCTCAACCTCCTCCATAACAGCAGGCGACATCGTTTTGGAATTCTCCGAGTCCATGTTGGTTCCGTGCAAAGTTTCAGCCATGCTGTTTCCTGCAAGCCAAATAAAAATACCAACCGTTTGTGTATACATACGGTCTCGTGACCACGGCGTGAATATGTATATCATTGATTCCAAATATATTACCCAACCAGAAATCACGTTATATGAAGAAAGGCGGGGTTAATTGTCTGTTCAGCTCAATACTAATTTGTAACACGCAGTTTCAATGCCGTCAGATAAAGCTCAAATTTATGCCTAATTTGAATATTTCTTGAGGGACTGGAGGGATATAATTTACACATCAAGTCAGTATTCTGTCGTTTAAATCTATCTGTATAAATACATTTAGTATATTTATAAAATTTAATTTATTTCAACTGAAAAATGTTAAACGGATTAACCTGTTAAAATTCCAATTGTCTTCTGTTTTATTATTTATCTCTACAATCCAGGTCACCTTTACCTGTATTTACATGGGAAGGGAAGCAACTCGTGTTGATGGTTATAACGAGCCTAGTCTTGTCAGTCCAACTATAGAACTTACGAGGACTTTCGACACAAGTTCGAGTTTTGCTTATATAAACATTTTTTGTCAAGTAATCAAAATAGTGGGAAAGGAATGGGGTAGAGTAAGAGATAACGAGGAAATACAAAGATGACAGTGGAGAAATACTAATACGAAAGGGAGGAGGAGGTGGAAGAGGAGAAAATATGGAGAGGAGGAGGGGGAATTACAGAGTGGAGGAGTAGAATGGGCAATTACGGAGAGGAAGAGAGTGTCGAAATACGGAGAGGAAGAGAGAGTCGAAATACGGAGAGGAAGAGAGTGTCGAAATACGGAGAGTAGGGGGATTACTGTGGGAAAATATGGAGAGGAGGAGGAGAAGAGTGGAGAAATATGAAGAGGAGGGGGATTACTGTGGGGAAATATGGAGAGGAGGAGGAGAAGAGTGGAGAAATATGAAGAGGAGGGGGATTACTGTGGGGAAATATGGAAAGGAGGAGGAGAAGAGTGGAGAAATATGAAGAGGAGGGGGATTACTGTGGGGAAATATGGAGAGGAGGAGGAGAAGAGTGGAGAAATATGAAGAGGAGGGGGATTACTGTGGGGAAATATGGAGAGGAGGAGGAGAAGAGTGGAGAAATATGGAGAGGAGGGGGAGTATTGTGGGGAAATATGGAGAGGAGGAGGAGAAGAGTGGAGAAATATGAAGAGGAGGGGGATTACTGTGGGGAAATATGGAGAGGAGGAGGAGAAGAGTGGAGAAATATGGAGAGGAGGGGGATTACTGTGGGGAAATATGGAGAGGAGGAGGAGAAGAGTGGAGAAATATGAAGAGGAGGGGGATTACTGTGGGGAAATATGGAGAGGAGGAGGAGAAGAGTGGAGAAATATAGAGAGGAGGGGGAGTATTGTGGGGAAATATGGAAAGGAGGAGGAGAAGAATGGAGAAATACGGAGAGTAGGGGGATTACTGTGGGAAATTTTGGAGAGGAGAACGAGAAGAGTGGAGAAATATGAAGAGGAGGGGGAGTATTGTGGGGAAATATGGAGAGGAGGAGGAGTACTGTGGTGAAATATGAAGAGGAGTAGGGCAGTGGGGTACATATGGAGAGGAGGAGGGCAGTGGGGTACATATGGAGAGGAGGAGGGCAGTGGGGGTAAATATGGAGAGGAAGAGGAGGGCAGTGGAGAAATATGGAGAGGAGGAGGGCAGTGGGGTACATATGGAGAGGAGGAGGGCAGTGGGGGTAAATATGGAGAGGAAGAGGAGGGCAGTGGAGAAATATGGAAAGTAGGAGGAGTACTGTGGTGAAATATGGAAAGGAGTAGGGCAGTGGGGTACATATGGAGAGGAGGAGGAGAAGAATGGAGAAATATGAAGAGGAGGGGGAGTATTGTGGGGTACATATGGAGAGGAGGAGGGCAGTGGAGAAATATGGAGAGGAGGAGGGCAGTGGGGTAAATATGGAGAGGAAGAGGAGGGCAGTGGAGAAATATGAAGAGGAGGAGGGCAGTGGGGTAAATATGGAGAGGAAGAGGAGGGCAGTGGAGAAATATGGAGAGGAGGATGGCAGTGGGGAAATATGGAGACGAGGAGTAGAGAAATATGGAGAGGAGGAGGAAGGTTATCCTTGTTAAATTATTTATTCAATAAACGGGAAGGCTATCCAATATGACAGAATAAATACTACGACAGCAAAACTTAAAATTAATGGAGAAACATACCAAGGACAAAATGTTTACACATTGTTTTGATAGTGAATATTGTAATTTATGTCATGTTAATCCATGAAAGGGCCAACAATATGAGTCATGGGTCTTACTTGTGTAGTTACTAAGTAACATACCTATAGAGAATTACATTCTCTGACTCCAGTGGGAATTTCCTGTCCTGTTTCCGCCTGCAAACCTACTTGCCTTATGCACTGCACGTGCAATCAATTCCGTAAATCAGAACTTTTTTCTTTGCAAAAACATAGATGGTTTTTCTGAAAACATCTAAGCTATTTTTTTTAAATTAGTCTCTCTTTTTTTCAGGAAAGCGCAAAGGAGAAGGTGACTCTAAGGATATTTACTCAAGTCAACGAGGACACGTAGTGAAAGTAAGGACAGAAGATCAGAGAGTGGGGTGATTTTAGGTGACTAAGGATCTTTACTCAAGTCAACGAGGACACGTAGTGAAAGTAAGGACAGAAGATCAGAGAGTGGAGCAGATTTATATTCTGTTGAGTAAATATACTTAAATGATACAAAGTGTTTTTACTCATTTACAAAAATATCGGATAAGTGAAGAAAATACGGATAAGCGAGATTAATAAACCACTCTGTAAGTCAGGTAACACATCAGGTAACACACAACAGGTAACACATCAGGTAATTGAGATAAAAAATGTCAATGGCTGATTATTCATCAGGTTGGCGAGGTAATTATTCATCGGGTTGGCGAGGTAATTATTCATCAGGTTGGTGAGGTTGTCTATCATCAGGTTGGTGAGGTAGTCTATCATCTGGTTGGTGAGGTAATTATTCATCAGGTTGGTGAGGTAGTCTATCATCAGGTTGGTGAGGTAGTCTATCATCAGGTTGGTGAGGCAATTATTCATCAGGTTGGCGAGGTAATTATTCATCAGGTTGGTGAGGTAGTCTATCATCAGGTTGTTGAGGAAGTCTATCATCAGGTTGGTGAGGTAATTATTCATCAGGTTTGTGAGGTAGTCTATCATCAGGTTGGTGAGGTAGTCCATCATCAGGTTGGTGAGGTAGTCCATCATCAGGTTGTTGAGGAAGTCTATCATCAGGTTGGTGAGGTAATTATTCATCAGGTTTGTGAGGTAGTCTATCATCAGGTTGGTGAGGTAGTCCATCATCAGGTTGGTGAGGTAGTCCATCATCAGGTTTGTGAGGTAGTCTATCATCAGGTTGGTGAGGAAGTCTATCATCAGGTTGGTGAGGTAATCTATCATCAGGTTGGTGAGGTAATCTATCATCAGGTTGGTTGGTGAGGTAGTCCATCATCAGGTTGGTGAGGTAGTCCATCATCAGGTTGGTGAGGTAGTCTATCATCAGGTTGGTGAGGTAGTCTATCATCAGGTTGGTGAGGTAATTATTCACCAGGTTTGTGAGGTAGTCTATCATCAGGTTGGTGAGGTAGTCTATCATCAGGTTGGTGAGGTAATTATTCATCAGGTTTGTGAGGTAGTCTATCATCAGGTTGGTGAGGTAGTCTATCATCAGGTTTGTGAGGTAGTCTATCATCAGGTTGGTGAGGAAGTCTATCATCAGGTTGGTGAGGTAGTCCATCATCAGGTTGGTGAGGTAGTCTATCATCAGGTTGGTGAGGTAGTCTATCATCAGGTTGGTGAGGTAATCCATCATCAGGTTGGTGAGGTAGTCCATCATCAGATTGGTGAGGTAGTCTATCATCAGGTTGGTGAATTTGTCTATCATCAGGTTGGTGAGGTAGTTATTCATCAGTTTGGTGAGGTAGTCTATCATCAGGTTGTTGAGGTAGTCCATCATCAGGTTGGTGAGGTAGTCTATCATCAGGTTGGTGAGGTAGTCTATCATCAGGTTGGTGAGGTAATCTATCATCAGGTTGGTGAGGTAGTCTATCATCAGGTTGGTGAGGTAATCTATCATCAGGTTGGTGAATTTGTCTATCATCAGGTTGGTGAGGTAGTTATTCATCAGTTTGGTGAGGTAATTATTCATCAGGTTGGTGAGGTAGTCTATCATCAGGTTGGTGAGGTAGTCTATCATCAGGTTGGTGAGGTAATTATTCATCAGGTTGGTGAGGTAGTCTATCATCAGGTTGGTGAGGTAGTCTATCATCAGGTTGGTGAGGTAATCTATCATCAGGTTGGTGAGGTAGTCTATCATCAGGTTGGTGAGGTAGTCCATCATCAGGTTGGTGAAGTAATTATTCATCAGGTTGGTGAGGTAGTCTATCATCAGGTTGGTGAGGTAGTCCATCATCAGGTTGGTGAGGTAGTCCATCATCAGGTTGGTGAGGTAGTCCATCATCAGGTTGGTGAGGTAGTCTATCATCAGGTTGGTGAGGTAGTCTATCATCAGGTTGGTGAGGTAATCTATCATCAGGTTGGTGAGGTAATTATTCACCAGGTTGTTGAGGTAATTATTCATCAGGTTGGTGAGGTAATTATTCATCAGGTTGGTGAGGTAATTATTCACCAGGTTGGTGAGGTAATTATTCATCAGGTTGGTGAGGTGGTCTATTATCGTTCCCTTTTATAACCTATACCCTCCAATATCTGACCACTGTCTTTCCCGATTTCGACACACCCCCGTGAACATTCAACATCTATTCTTCCATTTTCAACATCTTCCTTCTTCTGTCTCTAGCATTCTATATCTTGAATCTTTCTTGTCGGCGTTTCCCCTTCCATTTTTCCTTTTATCCGCAGGTCTGAAATTTGGTCCTTTGTATCTCCCTGCGTGGCATGCACCACTCCATGTCCAATCTGTACCACTCTATGTCTGACCTGCACCATTCATCTACTATCACATGTCTGACATCTACTGTCTCATGTTTGACATCTACTATCACATGTCTGACATCTACTGTCTCATGTTTGACATCTACTATCTCATGTCTGACATCTACTGTCTCATGTTTGACATCTACTATCTCATGTCTGACATCTACTATCTCATGTCTGACATCTACTATCTCATGTCTGACATCTACTATCACATGTCTTACATCTACTATCTCATGTCTAACGTCTACTTTCTCAAGTCTGACATCTACTATCTCATGTCTGACATCTACTATCTCATGTCTGACATCTACTATCACATGTCTTACATCTACTATCTCATGTCTAACGTCTACTATCTCATGTCTGACATCTACTATCTCATGTCTGACTTCTATCTCATGTCTAACCTCTACTTTCTCATGTCTAACCTTCACTATCTCAAGTCTGACATCTACTATCTCATGTCTTACATCTACTATATCATGTCTGACATCTACTATCACATGTCTTACATCTACTATCTCATGTCTAACGTCTACTATCTCATGTCTGACATCTACTATCTCATGTCTGACTTCTATCTCATGTCTAACCTCTGCTATCTCATGTCTAACCTCTACTTTCTCATGTCTGACATCTACTATCTCATGTCTTGCATCTACTGTCTCATGTCTAACCTCTACTCTCTCATGTCTGACATCTATCTCATGTCTGACATCTACTATCTCCCGTCTTACTTCAACTTTCTCATGTCTAACCTCTACTATCTCATGTCTGACATCTACTATCTCATGTCTTACTTCTACTTTCTCATGCCTAACCTCTACTATCTCATGTCTGACATCTACTATCTCATGTCTGACATCTATCTCATGTCTAACCTCTACTATCTCATGTCTGACATCTACTATCTCATGTCTGACATCTACTATCTCATGTCTGACATCTACTATCTCATGTCTTGACATCTACTATCTCATGTCTGACATCTACTATTTCATGTCTTACATCTACTATCTCATATCTTGTCTGACGTCCCTTTCTCTGATCTGACCTTTACTGTCTCGTATCTGACTTCTACTGTCTAGTGGCTGGTCTCTACTAACTTATGTGTAACCTCTACTATTTCATGTCTGACATCTACTGTCTCATGTCTAACCTCTACTATCGCATGTCTAACCTCTACTTTCTCATGTCTGACATCTATCTCATGTCTAACCTCTACTTTCTCATGTCTGACATCTATCTCATGTCTAACCTCTACTATCTCATGTCTAACCTCTATTTTCTCATGTCTGACATCTACTATCTCACGTCTGACATCTACTATCTGATGCCTGGCCCCACGTTCTCGAGTCTAATATCTGGTCTCTTCCATTACATCACTTGCATATTTCGTCTTGTGTCTGAACTGTATTCCTAGTAGATACTACATCACTTCTACTCTCTTATGTCTCACTCATTATCACGTCTGACTTCTACCCGATGTGACTACCGTCTTAAGTCTTACCCTTCTACTCTTCCTTGTCAGACCGAAAATGCCCATTTCTGATCGTCACGTGATATTGTATGATTGTCCCTGTTTTAACATTTTGCCAGGTAGAATACCAAACACCACCTGCTGCATCAGAAAGTTTGGTTCAGCTTTTGATCAGTAGAGATAGTGCCGTTAATCCGAACGCTGAAATTTTAGTAGTATTTCATGAACTTTAATCCGTGTAGGAATATAAAATATTCCAGATTCATGCATTTGCTGTACTCTACCGAATCCATCATTACAGTGATACCATTACCCCGAGCACCGGATCCAGATTGACAAACCGAAAGTAGAATAAAGATACTTTTATAAACGTATGCCCGAAATTTCTTATTAGAATCACAGTATATTTATCAACAACAAGACATGAATACGTTTCGTAAGTTTATTTATCGTATTAACAAGTATAAAAGTGTAAAAGTCTTTATACAGACACATCTGTACAGCACTGGCATGTTTGGAAAACAAACGGTAATATCTGAACCTTACACAAACTCTGTGTACACCATCTTTTATACAGTAGCCATTTTCACAATAATATTTAGAAGACATTTTGTCTACATAAATGCATCAGAGATGTTATATCTAATGCCAGTATTAGAAAATAAGTAAAGAAAAGCAAGTTTTCATTTTACTCTGAGAATTATACAACATTCTTCTCAATTACTGCACCAGAGGCACAAGAGGTTGTGAGTCATGTGACACATTGAGCGTGTCCTACCCACGCCTTGCCCTATCTCATTCACGCTACCTGTTCCCAGGCCACAACACATAAAACACAAGGTTCACAAAAAACATCAGAAAAACTAAACCTTATAAAAAAAATAACAGAGACTAGTACAACATAACCAAAAACAAACATTGAAGTAGATGATGAAGGTGCCGGGAATGTAACAGCGTCACCAAAACGTTTCCAGTTGACTCTGACAGTGTGATAAGTAGGTAAAAAGTCACTTGGCATGCTTCCAAAATGACACCACTCCTATATTGTGATTGGACGAGAGTTCATCCATCTCATTGGCTGTGGGAGTTTACAGCGACAGTTTACCATGTCGATTACGAGAACAGGTAAGAGACAGAAAAGGAAAATACAGAAGGTTAGAGGATAAAGGAGAATGGATGTATGTAACCTCTGGAATGATTTGGTGAGGTTATTGTGTACACTACAGTATATAATGTAGCCTCATCTGATATATAACAACATAAAAATCTCAGGTGTTTGACAGTCTGTGGAGTCTACCATATTTGTATCCATAAACATCAAACATAACAAAACAAGCCAATATAAACAAGAAAACAAAAACGCCTTATATACAACAAATATACTTTTTACACGTGCGTGTTCCATTCTTGTGAGCGCTCCCGTGAATTTGGGTTTCAAAAAAACTCAGATGATGACGATGATGTACAATGAGAGTATTATTCATGTCAGTTTCGCGGGATGGTGTTTCGTCTAACGATGATAATGTTTGTTTCTTATGTTCTACATTTACCTCCGTGATCAGACCGGACGTCAATACATGCTGGTCATTAACCTCATTTAATACTTACACGAACACACAAGGATGAAACGAGCATGATAAACATACAATATAACACTAGTGGACTATATATATCTTACCCATAATAAAGGCTCATTCATATACTTCATATATATATACTATTACACAGGGGCAAGACACTATCTAAATGTCGTAAGATTATTGCAAATAAATAGGTCTTGCACATCTATCCATCCCTCGGCCCATTGTCCAGCCCCTTCCCACCCCATCAGCCCATCCCCACCCCATCAGCCTCTCCCCACACCATCAGCCCCTCCCCACACCATCAGCCCCTCCCCACCCCATCAGCCTCTCCCCACCCCATCAGCCTCTCCCCACACCATCAGCCCCTCCCCACACCATCAGCCCTTCCCCACCCCATCAGTCCCTCGGTGTACTATTCCCCAATGCTTTACCATCCCACCAACCCCTCGGTTTGTACCACATCCCTGTATCAGCAACAGTTTATAATGAGTTAACACTATACATCAGTTAACTGTAATGAGGTGTGAATATAGGGGTACTGTGGCTTACTTACATCATATACATTGTCGGTCCGCCGAATCAAACCATTTCAAAATAGCTGGCATCATGTAGTTCATATGTTTATGATAAACGTAAACCATCTTAGCGTTGTTATAAAATTATATTTTTTTGATAAAAAGGGAAAAAAAATCTTAATCTATTTTTTTCTGGTATTGTAGTACAGGGAGCTGAACATTTTATTTCACACTACAGTCCTATAATCCCCCCCCATTAAAAAAAACATGTAATCGGAGATTCTTGAGGGTTTTTTTCAGTTTGTACACAGTCAAATCAACTTTCCTCTATGTGACTGTGTCTGAAGTCGAACCATGATTACCTTTTTTTAAGGAATATCTTTACAACATATTACATAAAAGAGAAGTAAAATAAGCTCATCCATAATTACTAAAAATCAACCAGAAAACATAAAACACCAAAATGCATTCTCATACACATAACTCCAAAACATAAGGGAAAAACATTACGCAATCTTTGATTCGTACATGCATTTTCGCCACTAAACATTTTATAGTTATAACAAAGCATGCGTATTCCCTTAAAAGGCTTAGATCAGAAATAAAAATCATTACACCTCCTGCTTGTGAACTCTGAATGATTTAGTGTCCAACAGAAGGACTTTACCGGGCTCAACAAAAATAAACTCTTCTCTATATTATCTGTAGTTCATAAATCAACATCCAGCCGAGTGTCTACATACCATCATGTATGTCTAAATTTTCCCTCGTTAGGGTTAACAGGTCAATCTAAATGGTAGCGACAAGACTAGCTAGATTAATTCCTGTCACGTGATAACAGAGAGTTTGAACACGTGTCACTGGGCTGTATAATGCGTATGGTCTGGATAACACTTAACTATTCATAATTTCAAAACTGTTTTGAATTGTAGATATTTGAAATTTTGACTGAAAACTGGAAATATCAAATGTTTTTAAACTGGGAGCGTTATAATTCAGGTGCTTTATAGGAAGTTCTATTTTTGGAGCTTTAATCCTCAAAAATAAAAAATAAAAATCGAACGCAAATAAGTGATTTGCAATATCTGAAAATTTTGGCCAAAAAAAAACCGAAAGAAAAAACAAGCAAAAAAAGTTTATATAATTTGAATGTAGGCCTTATGTCAATATGCTATCTGTAACTTCCAAAACGGTTATAGACATTTTAGAATTTTGTAATTTTGAATTGTTAAACGTTACACAAACAATACTATGTATATAACAAATCTATATCTTTAAGAAAACTATATATAACTTCTCTATCTAGCTTCTCCTGCTGTTATATTCCTGGAACTACCTACACGTTGAGCAATTTTTCTGACCACATATTTCAATTCTATTGTAAATCTGTGTTTCTAACTAAGAACACTGGTATAATGTCAATTTAAAAATGATATGACATATAGTAAACACGAATGTCACTGACAGGTGCAAACCGATATAATCAGGACCTATACCTGACTTAATATTTCAAAACCAAGAAAATTATTGGCGTATTTTGTCGACACATTAAAGAAGAATGCTTGAACATCCCTCTCCGGGTACTACCTGTAAGTCATCTGGACACTCTGTGTAACTGAAGCATTCTGGAGGGGGAGGAGATGCTTCCTCCTCCCTAATTATCTCTTGCATCCATATAGCGTCTTTTTCGTTAAGGTTTGGGGTTGTAGACCATAGTACAGGTATAGGTGCCCACAAGTCAGTCAACTCCTTAGGGGGAGGTGTGACGGTGCGTTCAGGTCCTTCCATTGGTGTAGGTGTCCAGTTGTGTACAGTCCTCTCCTTCGGTGCAGGAGTCCAGCTATATTCACACCTCTCTTTCGGAGCAAAGGTCCAGCTGTATACTGACTCGTCTGTGGGAGGAGGTGTCCCGTTATATGCAGGTTGCTCGCCACGGGCAGGGGTCCTATTGCACATAGGTTCCTCCTTAGTGGGAGGCGTCCAGATGCACGTAAGGTCGTCCTTCGGGGGAGGAGTCCAGATGCATGTAAGGTCTTCCTTCGGGGGAGGGGTCCAATTGCAGATAGGCTCCTCCTTAGGGGGAGGAGTCCAAATGCTTGCATGTTCTTCCTTAGGGGTGGAGGTCAGACCCAGTTCAGACATTATCCACTCTTTTTCATCCAAGAGGGACTGGCACTTTTCACTTAGAAATCTGTGTCTTTCTTTCTCCTTTTCTAATTCCTAAAACACGGAAAAAATTAAATGTCACAAAGTACATAACAGTACACTTGATTTGTGGTACCGCTTATCAATTTTAGGACGCATGTGTACACGTGTTATTAAATATGGATGTTGTCTTGTCACGTGTGTGACTGTTGATATTCAGGTGTACTCAAATTTATGTACGTGTGTACAATGTATTTTATACTCACATGTACGCACACCGTGTATTCATGAATATGCATATTGTGAGCTCACATGCAAATATCTTATGCACTCAAGTGTACTTATATTAGGTACTCATGTGTACCCACTCTATGTTCGCATGTATATGTATGTATTGTGTACTTACAGAGAAGTATGCTGTGTACTTACGTATACGTATGTGTGTACTCACGTGCAGGTTTATTGTGTACTTAGGTGTACGTATGCAGTATACTTCCGTGTACGTATAAGTGTTCTCACGTGTACGTATAGTATACTCACTTGTTCTAATTCCTTCTGTTTATTCTTTCGCTTCTGTCGACACCTAACTGCAGCTTCCCTATTTTTCTCTTTTCTGTTCGCCACTTTCGTTTTCTCCTCGTTAGTTAACTGTGAACATGTACAGAAACACTAAGACACATACACCGTATAATATAACCACTCTATACTTTGTATAAGACGATCAATATCCTCTACACTATAAAATGAAATAGACACAATCTTTCCACTAAAATAATGTATATTTAAACAATATTTACACAATACGAACACAGACAAGATATATAGTATCAACACATCTTCTGAATCTCAAAATCCACTATTCTTTTTCTTTTCTTTCTGTTTTCTTTTTTTTCACTATGAAATATTCTAACCAAAGATGAACTCACCGGTGTCTTGACTGGATTTTTCATTTCAACTTTTAACTCATCCAGACCTCTCTCTAGTCTTGAATGTTGGATTTTAGTCCATAATTCCTCTTTAAGCAGTGGAGTTATCACCCCTGTTTTTATGGCTTTATTTTCTGCTATCTGTAGTTTTAGGTCTGTGCGCTCCTCGGGCCACATTGGCAGGTCCCCGTCCATCTATACATAAAATAATCAGGATTATACTGTATATCGTAAACTCCGTCTACATCTACAGGAAACAAACAAAACAGTAACTAGTAATCATAACTAAGAGAGTTGCCTCCCCTGATGGCAATCACATTGTTTACAAGATAAGCCAAGTCATATATATACGACGGACAAGAAACAGATTTAAAGATTCAAGATTTTATTTCTTCACTCATCCCTAGTTTTCTAGAAACCTACAAAATTGTCAAGGATAGTAGTGTTGCATATTTAAAAACATTCCTTTCATTTTAAAAACAGTTGGGTAGTAACAGTAATACTTTCGCATGTAATTCTGCCATGGCGCCAAAATTTGGTAAATATTACAAGTAAATAAAAAAAGGAAATTCGTCACCTACACTAATGTTACAAAGAGGAGGACAGATTATATTTTCCCTTAGAATGCCTGACCTGTTTCTGTAGGAAATGTCAATCTAGATGTCCTGAATTTAGCAATTATATCTCTTTTTTCCAAACATTTCTTTATGTTTTTATCTGTCCAAAATCATTGAGACTGATACGCCATCTTTTTAATTGATTGATGCCATTACCCTTTTCAGTGTTGATTTGCTTGCTGAATATGTGTCTTGAAAAATCCATAAAACGTTCATTCCTAAATTTCCCAATACTTTTACAATATTTTCCAACCATTTCAACTTACATATTTTATTATTACTTTGCTGTAAGTCATACATTATTTTGTAAATCGTTCCTGGAAGACTTGTCCCGACAAATTATACCAATACATTATCATTTTACAACCAATATTGCTTTTAACAGGATATTTATTGGTTTCTCCGTACACCATGAAATTAGATGTCCTCCCTCCTAGATTTAGCAGTCTCTTACAAAACTGTTATTGAATCCTTCCTATACAAGTAATATTTCCAAAATCCCAAACATCTGCACCGTATGTCAAATCTGGCAGAACAATTGAATCAAACAGTTTCAACTGACGATCGATCGGTAAAGGAACATTTCTGATTTTTTTTCTACGGAACAAAGTGAATAAAAGAGGATGGCAATATTACCAGAGAGAAAGACAGAAAACTAATACCACGGAGGTTATACCCACTGTTATCTATACTAACAGAAATACATGTGTTTACACAAGAGCGGTTACACTCCAGGGTAAGTGTGATGTCAGTGTTATATTAACGACCTGAATAATCCAAATCCTAGGATCCTCGTACTCGTACTGATATCATTTCATATTTCATCGGTGACGACGTTTCTTTAAACTTTCAATTTATCAAACAAACCACAAGAGAAAATTATAATTTCGTTCAGTATACATAATGTACATGTTTCACTTAAACATTTAAACTTTATTTATTTATTAATTTATTTATTTATTTAAAGGCTAAACGTTTGCTATTACTTTGTAGACCGTTTGCCGCACTAAGCTCATTGTTCCCAGTCTACTGGACGAACCACCGATGTAAGATATGGGTTTACGCTACGTTATTTAAACATACACATTTGTCTCTGTGGTAGGTCCGGAAAATCATTAAAATATGTTTTAGCAATAATATTAGAACTTAATTACTACATTAATATAAACATGCACTTTTATAAAAGTTCACATAAACATCAAGCAAATCTACAACATATAGAATAAATAAAGACTAATTCTACTTTGGAAACCAACATGTCGCCAAGATACTAACTTTGGTACAGAAACTCAGCGTATAATTAGACCTGGCCAAGGCATTACCAAAACCATGGTTAGTTTGCTTCAAAACACGAGTATCATTGTGATACCTACTAACAACACAAAATTACCAAACCTAAAAATACAGGTAAATGTCAGGATTTTACTGCAGAAATTGTACCATCCATGTAAATAAAGGTGTATTTATTACGTCATATATCAGGATCTATTTCTCGAAGAGCATACATTATTCCAAAACGATAATTCAGTAAGTTGAAAATAAAACAATAAATTTGCAATATTATTGAATATCAAACTCTCAATAATAGTATAATATCAATGTAATAAACTTCTTGAATGCACATTTTTTCAATTGTTTTACCCCGAGGGATAGGATTGTTTATAGCTGTACTGGTAGTTTAATGTTTACGTCAGATCTGGTTTGTTCTATAGTAGAACGCCTACTTGTTGAACTCTGCAAGTTTTCCGCTTGATTCTCAACAAAAAATACACGAAAATATTGCAATAATTTACACCAATTTTCCCGAAAAAATGTTTTTATCACATTTGCAACAAATTCGTACATGAATTGTCGTGCTTATTTGTACCAAATATGTTAATGTAAATTTGGCACTTATCTACAAGAATTATACACATGAAAACTCCAATCATATCCATGAAGCACGTACGACCCGGAAATATAGATGCAAAGTTAGCATGAATATTTTACAACCAAAAATATTTTTTAAAATAATATTACATAAATTCACATCAAAGGTCTATAAATATTACTCAAAGTAATGTGGCGAATATCCGAGATTATCGCGTTATTTTACTATAAATATACTGATAAATAACATACACCCATTTATAGTAAATACTCATCAATGTCCTACATTATGACAAATATCCGTGATTATCGCGTTATTTTACTATAAATATACTGTTAAATAACATACACCCATTTATAGTAAATACTCATCAATGTCCTACATTATGACAAATATCCGTGATTATCGCGTTATTTTACTATAAATATACTGTTAAATAACATACACCCATTTATAGTAAATACTCATCAATGTCCTACATTATGACAAATATCCGTGATTATCGCGTTATTTTACTATAAATATACTGTTAAATAACATACACCCATTTATAGTAAATACTCATCAATGTCCTACATTATGACAAATATCCGTGATTATCGCGTTATTTTACTATAAATATACTGTTAAATAACATACACCCATTTATAGTAAATACTCATCAATGTCCTACATTATGACAAATATCCGTGATTATCGCGTTATTTTACTATAAATATACTGTTAAATAACATACACCCATTTATAGTAAATACTCATCAATGTCCTACATTATGACAAATATCCGTGATTATCGCGTTATTTTACTATAAATATACTGTTAAATAACATACACCCATTTATAGTAAATACTCATCAATGTCCTACATTATGACAAATATCCGTGATTATCGCGTTATTTTACTATAAATATACTGATAAATAACATACACCCATTTATAGTAAATACTCATCAATGTCCTACATTATGACAAATATCCGTGATTATCGCTTTATTTTACTAAAATGACATCCAAAGTAATATATTAGAGAAACTTACAATAAATTTCCATAAATATAACACTAAGTTAGGTGGCAAATATTCATGATTATTCCGTTATTTTACTATAAATATATTATAAATATATTCATAAATAATATTACTAAAATTTATAGTAATATTCATCCAAGTATCCCGCAAGTTTACAGTAAATATCAAGTAAATATCACAATGGCCATTCTAAATTTTACATATATTTTACGTGTCGTACATTTAAACTAAAACTTGATTTCACTTTTTCATATTTATGAGTACATACTTAATTGACTCAAAAACTTAAACAAAGACGAGGCATTATATGTATCGACTGACTGGAGCTCTCTTCTCAACATGCTCTTATACCACCAACAGAAAGACTTGACAAAGAAAAGGCCAGCTACAGAGAAACAATTTGTACATGTATACACATGTGAGTTAGTACATGATATCAAAATTCAATTATCTTTTTATATGCTATCAGAAATATCAACAAGTACATCAAAATCGCAAACACTCAAAAGAATGACCAAATGACTACATTTTAGTGTCATTACAGCTGATGTTTTTTATCATACAAACGGGTTTGTTGTAATTTCCCAACACTACAAACTTTTAATTTAAAACCAAGTTTAGTAAAAATTGTATTATTGATAAGACAACGCTAAATCTTGTGTAACACCACACTGCCATCACTTAAGTTAGATTTATAAGCACATTGCATGCTTAGCTAATTATTCACATTAATGCTGTATATTTCATAGAAAAAAGAAATTGTTTGAATCGCCGTAAGTTGAAACAAATAATATCACAGGAAGATTTGATGTTACGGTATCAGATACGTAATGACATTAGCTCGGTATCCAGAATTTAAATGCCACAAACCGGTAATTTTATCCTACAGGTTGACTAAGTGTGTACGATTTTATATATATATATATATATATATTGTTTGATTTTTTGTTCTAGAAAATACATTTTTTTCATAACCGTCAACCTTAATCGTAATTATAGTATTTTTTCAAGCTTTAAACAAAGTGACAGTGAAAAGTGTCAATTAAATGTTTCGTCAGCATCCGTTTTGGATAGACAGAAGAAACATGTTGGTACATGTTTGTGATGCGGACAGCTGCACGATTAAAACCGCCATCAACCTATTGTAATATATCTTTAAACGAAACAGAATCTCTCTGAAATCACTTTGTGTTCCTGGTATTAACAAAATATTTTTTTAAAAAATGGAAGAAATATTTGTTTGCGTTTTCACATTTTCTATGTTAAGTATAAGTTTGTGTTGTCTTTAGAAATATATCGAAGTAAGTACCGGTAATAATAGTCTCAGTTGATATGTATTACAAACCTTATATAATTATAACGCAATGGCTATTCATCAATTAGTAAATGACACAATGAAAATTCTAATGAATCCACGTGTATTTAAAATAAAACCTTACCGGAAAACAAGATATTTACACATCAACATGGTGATGACTTTGAATATGTGATGAATCAACAACACTACATGAGCGATAGAAATATGGTAAATCGTGCAACATTTCAGTAAAACCATTATCGTTTTCTTTTCCTGTGGTATTGAGGATAAAACACAGGCTAACCATACCAATAAGGTAGAGCGTAGCAATTAGACACTGAAAACGATTTACAATGATGCAAGAAGTCTTACTTCGGTTGT